AACACATTCTGCTGCAGCTCTTAAGCCTCCCGCAGCTGCTGATGAAGCTAATGCATGCCTTTTAACAAGATGAGCAAATGCTTCTGTTTGCCTGGTAGCCCACATCACAAGTTCAGAAGTATAAGATGGCTCCTGACCAAAAATAGCCAATGAGTCATTTGAAGCTTGTGCAATCGCTGAAAATACCAGCTGCGCCAGAGCAGCAGTATAAGCTCCTCCATATGATGTGCTTGATGGCCTTAGACTTTGCATGTTATACTGATATCTTTGGAGATGGGCATTAAGCAGCAAACTGTGAGCACGAGGACCATCCCCAAGCCTTTTGAGGGCTGATATTGCTGCACGAAGTTCAGCACCACGGGTGGAAGGCTGACAAGCAGCTTCAGCAAGCTGATCAGCTAGTTTCTGCCTGCGTTCAATAATTGAAGTCTGTAGAGACATGAGTGAAGATGGATTCAGGGTTTTCATCTCTTTTGCTTCGGAAACTACACGTTCCCCTTCATCAAGAGCAGCTAAAGCTTCATCCACTCTTCTTTCAGCCAAGAGAACATCCAAGAGATCAGGAAACTCAACTAACCATTTTTCCAGGTCTGATGTATCCTTATCTTCAGAATTCAAAATCGCATTTGAAGCTAAACCATCAGAATCCGAGATAGATAAGGAATCAATGTGAACTCCCTCAGCCAACCCATGTATCAAAGTGGCTTGTGTAGATAGCAGGTTTCTGATAGATGAAAGCTCTCCCTCTAAATCTGATATCTCCTTAGATGTGCTGTAAAATATGCATATTGCTTAAAAGCTAGGAAAATGATAAGGACACATCAAATTAACAACAGTACAAAGGTTTTGCAGTTAAAGATTACTTGAATCTAAAGAATGACCATGTTTATGTAGGGTAAATAACACTGTTAATATTTTCGAGATAAATAGACACCCAAATAAAACCAAATAAATGAAAAGGATGAAAATAATGCAGCCTACCCCTTGCCCCTCCTCTCTCCCTTTTTTTTTTTTTTTTTTTTGGGGGGGGGGGGGAGGGGGGCTCTAAAACAAGCACTACAGGCACAGCATATTCCGCCACAAACCAAAACAGCAGAATGGTGACCATTTGATATTCTAAAATCGATATTCAGATTACACGTAGTGGTTCATTTGAAAATGGTTGAAATAATTACAACTGTAATAATTTAAAATACCCAACAGCGCAGACATGAACATGTTTTCTGCAGCAAGTACGCACAATAATACGACTTTAAGGTGATAAGGATGGAAGAAAGAGAGAAAAAAGACAAACAACCAACCGTATGAAGGCAGCATAGTTAGCATAGACACTTCGACGCATTTCCTCAGCAGAAGCTTTTTTCAAATCCACCAAATATGAACATAATTGCTTTATTTCCTGTAAAAACAAACAAGATAAAATCAGTTGAATTGAATGAGCGTAACACAAAATGGAGAACCAAAAAACATTTCTCAACTAGCAGGGAAGAAAACACAAGCAGCAATGGATTTCAATGCTAGATTACTAAACAAAAAGGCAGAAAAAAGTGATAACTACCCTTTATTGTCATTACTAGCACTGTTTGTTCAGTTCAATATACTTCATGGCCCATTAAGTATAAATTGCAACTACATGAAGCCTAGAGCGTCCCTAGTAAACAGTTTGAGTCTGCATTCATGCATACAATTTAAAAGGTAGTGGAATATAAGGGGAAAAACAGATCCCTTTTAATGGGCAGTTAATTATCAATAGCAGATGGTCTTTTACTTCTGTGCGATTTAAAATGCTATGGAAATAAGGAAAAAGAATCAATATTTGACACATTTTCTAATAAACTTCATGTGTGTAAATAGTTAAGCAATCATCATAGGTGCCAAAAACCTCTTGGCTCAATGGCACCATTCCCCTATGGGCAAGGGTTAGGATAGTGTTTTTTTTTTTTTTTTTTTTTTTTTTGGGGGGGGGGTTTGGTTTGGTTAATTGCTCCATGTAAAAAACATCACCATAGATATAATTAAGTTTCTATCAATCAGATATCCATATCCATAATAATAATACCCATGTGCCAAATTGAGTCCGATCAACAAGACATGGAAATAACAACAAAAGGAAAAACCTAAGTCCCGCACCGGAAGTATGGATTTCGAAGTGAGATTTACTGGGGCCTTGGGCTCTCCAAACTCATGGACAGCGTTTGAGGTGTGGCTCTCCTGAAGGTTCCTGACAATGAAATCAGAGCTGTCCACTACCCTCCATTCCCCTTTTCTCTCATCTCCTTGCCTGTGGGTTGACAATGGGCTACAAAGCCTGTTTTCTCTACCCTCTCTCGCCTGTGTGTATAACTAGGTTGCAGGGCACAGTGGAATTTATGACATATTGCAAAACATGGGACTTGAGTCCACCATCAGAAGCAGTACACTGATGAGGGTTTTTAGAGACCCTAGGGTATCCAACCCCAAAGGTTAGCTCATCTCTTCCAAAGATTCCTTTAGAACATAAATTCTCCATCATATTTCCCTCTTCTTTTTTTATCCTTAGTTTTAACTTTTATAAAAAATCATCAGGAGTTATATGTTGTGTCATTTTAGAATGAATCCATTCATTTATATGATGATTTCTTGAAAGAAGAATAAAAGATTAATGACTTATAATAATTAATTCTATGCTTTGGGTGTATAAATGGTAAATTTTGCAAAATTTGGCATAAGTTGGTCAAGGGCTGTAGCTATAGATGGTAGAATTAAGATCTTGGAATTAATTCCTCATGACCAGGAAGGAAAAGGGTCGAATCTCCAATATAATCGGCAACCGTAGTCGACACAAACATCTCCTACGGACCAAATGAATTCAACCACACCCCCCCCCCCCGCCCAGCCCGCAGCAATTCCCATGAAACTAAGGAGTCGGGATTGACATGATAATGAATCATCTCTCTTAAAAATTACGTCTACAGAGGTAAGAGAAGTGTTTGGAATCCTGGAACCAGAAAAAACAATGGACCAAGTTCATAAATTAACTGTTAAATCAAATTATTTTTTTCCCGAAGAATGCCAAGAAAAATGAGCGGTTTTCACAGTAAATTGTACATCACTATATTGAAATACAAACACCAACCTTCTCGCTGAGAGAGCATTTGGACTGGACATAAGTATCGGCATCGAATTTTTCAGACTTGAACACATGGAGACCTTCTTCCAGTTTTGGTCCGTTCTCTTTCACAGGCATAGCCTTGGACCGAGCAGTCTTCACCGCAGCCATAACCAGTGACTATTGTTGGCAAGAACTCCACAATTGAGCTTTAGATTTAAAGATCAAAAAGCAACAAGCAAATCTAGGGTTAAAAAAAAATTAAAAGAATTGAAACGATAGATCCAACCGCGAATATAGAAAAGCCTCGCTTAACAAGCGAAGATGGCGAAAGAGCTAAAGTATGATGTATACTGTAGAGAGAGAAAAAGACGATCCCTAGGAAATCGGTGAGAGTTGGACAACGGGAAGAAGTTTGTTAGGAGAATTGGTTCTTCATTCTTCAACTTCAACTGCTCCTTTGGTTTGACTGTCTTCTCCCCGAGGTAAGAAGGTGTTACATTTCATTATTTTGGCAACAATATTAACACAGAGAGAGAGACAGAATACGATATTAATACAATTTGGATTAATCGATATTGATACATGAATAAATATTTATTCTTTTATTTATTTATATGATAAATTTTTTTTTTAAATCATGATCTCTTGCATATTGGGAAGGAGATCATGCTCACAAAAGCATTGCTTGTTAGCTTAATTTGATTTAGACAAGGAGATTTGAAGCTGTGAAATAAAAAAGTACCATGTTCGTTTTATAATTATAAATACATATTTGATGCTTTATATTAAAAATATAACATGACATAGATATTAATAAATTCAGCTATTTTTATCAAAATTAATTTGATTGTTGATAAAGCATATCTATATAATCAACCCTATAATGTGATAATGTTTGTTGCAGTGGTCAATCACTGCATGTAGAACTATAACTAGATATTAGAGAGAACTTTTTTTTTATAAATCAAAGTATATTGACGTAGCTAGAGCTACAAGATTATACATAATTTAAAGTATATATTTAGGAGTGCTATAATTAGCGATGTGGTGTGGCTCTTTGTGGTTGGTGTTCATCGTCACCGCCATACTTTGCTCTCAAGTCTTCCTTTTGGCAGCAATGGCGCAGAGCCCCGCTCAACAACAATAACCGGCTATGGTTTCTTACTATCTATTTCTTTATTCCATTTTATTTAGTACTGGGGAGCCAACACAACCGTTCCATTTTGTTAGGTACACTTTTCCCCCACTCTTTTTGTTTTGTAGTTTCTTTATCTTGAACATAATTGTCTGGTTTATTTAACCCCAGTCAATGCTGGCCACTGCCAACAGTGCCATCATTCTTGTTGCAAGGCCGCTTGACGCAGACTGGAAGGCTTCGAGCCACTCGTAGGCACTCAGAAAATGGTAGTCAGCTTAAAATAAGTGCTTTTACGCTTTATAGGGATTCGTTTGGAATGATAATTTAAACATTCAAAAATAGTTTTTCAATTGTGATTTAAAATATACAAAATAGACACGTAAAAATTACCCCGACTTATGTTTACGTGTTTATGATAAGCAGTTCCAACAAGCACAATTCTCATATATTTACTACAATGAAAAATCACTTCTACACAGCTAATTTAAATGAGCACATAATTGGGTTAGTCGGATGCTACATGGCTTTACAACCTTGCAAGCTTGTTTGTTGGACTGTATCAGCGCACAGTTTAGCTCCGAAGACTAGAAATTTTAGCAACACTAACATAAATAGTTAGCGTCATATCATACACAAGTCATGCAAAATTCAGCCCCTCATGGAAGAATGCATTACTTCGGGAGAATTAGTGGGCAGCTTTCCAAATTGTACACCCTAACTGGATTTTTAAGTTACACAACAACCCGTTGTAATGTTTGGAATAGAAAGGCCTGGACAGTTGCAAATTGCATAACTAAATTTATTACAGGTTCAACCATGCAAATCCAAAATCAAGGACCATATGGCATGGACACTAAAAACAAGTACAGAGAAACAGAAGCTTCAACAATGACAAATTCTCTCATCTATTTATTGATTAACTTTACGATCTTAGAGACATTTGCCTACCAAGTCTTCCAACTCCAAGAACTCCCTGTTACTGTTCTGGTGTGTCTGAACGAACAGCTGATAGAAAAGCCAGCAGAAAACTTTGATCAGGATGCATCAAAAAGAGAACCGAATTAAACATGTTGTTAATTATAAATCATTATGAGGATTGAACAAAAAAGCGCATTTAACCAATTAAATATTGGAGGCCAATCTAGACTCTAGAGCACGTAAGTAAAGGATATAGCAAGACAGCCTCAGGAAGGTAGTTTCTTCAACATAATTTTCTTCACAATGAGTCACCAGTCCACAAATTAAACAAAAGAACCTGAGATTTAACTCTCTTTATGAAGAGTGAAGACTCATTCTCCCATTTTAATAGTAAGATTTTGTCACTGCAATAGTGAATACATATATCCTCACGGTAGAACATCCAGTTTCTTAAACATACATCCATCATATATTAATAACAACTTAACATGCAATTATCCGCGAGTCATGCTTCTCCAAAGCCAGTAACATGAATAAGTTGAGCCCCCAAATATGTGAATCAACCATAGAGGGAATTTAAGCACAAACCAAGTTTCAAAGTTGCGCTAAAGGTCAAAAACAATATGAACTGTTAGGCTTATTTAGATGGAAGGCGTGGAGAGGAACGAATGTTTATGATACAGGGGTTAGATCAAACATGATTTTAAGGAATCTCATCTCCCTCACATAAACATTACTTATTAATCATTAAAAGTAAAATATTGCATAATATTCAGTAAAATGCAGCAAATAAGAAATGTCATAATTGTTATACAGAATTTACGCTAGCTTCTTACGTCAAAAGGATCAAAGAAAGATCAATATATATCTGGAAACTGACGATTAACTTACAGTATACGTATCATATCATAACAAGTGATCTGAATCAAGAAATGTTGTTTAAAAGTTTATTATGTAAAATGTGACTTGAAGGTTTCACCGTAAAATGGACACATAACATAGTACTCTGACATGCATGATCGAAAGACTCGACAGGGCTACGGACAATAGCTTCGGCAACTACTAAACAGCCAGCATATCGCACAGCATGTCAAAATACAATTTCTATGAAACACGCAGAAAAAAAGGGAAAATTTTGTTTAGTGTGAACCTAGAGCCAAGCCCTCGGGAGTAAGCATTAGTGAGTTTCTAATCATTAAAACCGAACAGGCAATCTTTGCCACTTAAATGCAATTAGAACCCTCAACAGCATTCGGAATCGCTTCTTTTATGCACAAGTGAAAACACAGTTGAATGGATTTCGTCTCTTCGTTTTGAAAAGTAAAAGAGAAAAATAAAATCCAACACTTAATGTCGTATACACTAGAAAATGTTATCAGAAATCCAACTTCCACAAAAATAGAAAATCCAAATCGCAAATATAGGACCGTATCACGAACATCGTAGCATTCATGTAAAATTAAAGAAAACAAAAACAGCATTCGATTCAATTGTCAGATCACTCAGGAAATGAAATAAAGAATTGCAATCGAGGAGACAGAAGACACAGATCGATAGAGAAAAGGAGAGCTTACTAGGCTTCTCAGGCTTGCCATCGGCCCACTTGGAGAAGACGAAATGGACCTTCTCGCGAGAGAGGGCTTCAGATCTGTGGGGTTCCTTGAGGCAATTCCTGACGAGATTGGCGCAAATGTTGGAGTACGTGATGTAGGTCATCCCAGCTGCTCTCCAGAACGGCACCGCTGCGCTCGACGACATCTCTCAGCTCCTCTTCCGCAATTCTGTGACTCTCTCTGGCTCTCCCTACCCAGAAGGCTTCCTTCCTATATGAAGAACTTATTAGGGCTTGGGCCTCATTTACGTTGTCTTTTGATGGAACTCCAGCTTAGGAAAAAAACAAACATAAGAAGAAATATTCTTGTATAAAAAACAGAAACTTCATTTTGCAATTAAATTAAACGACTTTTTTTAGTGAAAAACAAAAAAAACGTATTAAACAATAGAGTACTGTGTTAAACAATTTTTTTAAGGTGATAGTATTAAAAAATATTCAAAGCAAAAGCGTGTTCTCTTTAAGTTAATTTTTTACTGAAAATCTATATCCATATATAATTAAAGTATTTCCTTCTGCTATATGGCCTCCACATTATTCTCTTCACAGCGTGATTTACCAATTAATTTTATGACTAGGAGATGTTTTTACACTTTGAGTTTATGTATAAAATGATACTTTTATTTTGGTTTTAAAACCAATAGTTTCAAATTTTAGAAATTAAAATTAAAACGAAATCAAACTTTAAGAATAAAAATTATATTGACCCTTTATATTTTATTTCTGGCAGCTACCTTGATTTAATAATTGCAACTTCCTATGAGACACCATAGTTGAATGTCTCGTAATGAATTTATAAATATAAGTTTAAATAAATTTTTAGGGAACGACACTTTGAACTTTCATAATTGATTTTTTGGGCTATCCAGACAAAAATTTGAATAGAACCAGATGGTAATCAGTTATGTAATGGGTATCCTCAGAACAATACTAGGTGCACCTAAATAAACAATTCAACCCGCACTTTTCAAGTCTTTTGTTTTTTTTTTGGTCAGATGCGCTTTTCAAGTCTGTTGCATCAAGTTCTGCAGAAACAAAAGGCCTTGTAAACAACAGCATCAGAAAAGAGGAGACTCAATATGGAAGTCTCGTTCTTGTCAGGATCCGTGAGCTACTGAGATTCAACTGGCAAGTTGTGCTGAAATATGTATCAAGAGAAAGGAACAAAGTGGCGGACGGGCTTGCAAAGATGGGTATTTCTCTTTCGGCATATTGGGATACTTGTCCTGAGAATTTACGAACTTTAGCGGATCATGATTGTACAGGATCTAATCCTGATAGTTCCTAATTTGGGCTTATAGCCTTCTCTTGTACCAAAAAAAAAAAACTCTTTCTTTTTTTTTTTTTAAAGTCGAAAGTAGTGCTGTTAGCGACTACCTTCTATTTTAAAAAAAAAAAAAATTTGGGGAAGCCAGCATTCATTTTTTTTATTAGTGATCAAATAGGCACAAATCATTATCAAAATAACTACAACGTAAGGACATGCTGACGTTGGCATTTCATTGACCGATATCAACATATGGCATCCAAACCTACCTATGTGTATGGGAGTGAAAGATTAAGAGATGTATATGAAATCACATCCAAGAAAAAATTACATAAAAAATTGGAACTCCAATTGTGGGGAAAATTAATGCTAGAAACCGATTAACAAGAGATATGAGGCACCACCGAAAGCCAAGAGAACTTGAAGGAAGAATATGAAGAGCTTGAAGTCGGCAGCTACCGGGAAGCTACTCAAAGTTGAAATACAAGCCGGATAAAAAAGGGTGTATGCTGCTCCAATCAAGCACCTCCCTTCTGTTTCAAGGTGATCTTATCCCCTAGACTGAGGGCAATTCCCTGAGTTTTACTTCTTATTCTGATGTATCCACTCAACTTATCATCAGCTTGCTTCTCAACGCTGATATTCACCAAAGCATCTTCCCCAAAAACACTCTTGGCGTAAAGATTTGCAGCTAGAAAACCACAATCCCCTTCCAATGCTGATCTGAAATCACAAAGCAAGAGAAAATAGGGAAGCAGCATCAATAAACTAGTTATCTCAATGCATGGGTCTTCATCTTGTCAGATACAAGTCCATATTTTTTATTGTTGCCAGTGAATCCAAGATATAATAATATCTCTAGACCAATAAGTTATGCATAATCCTAGAGAACCCTAAAACCCCGCTATTCATTAGAATGATGTCATTATCTGTTTAAGAAAAAAATTGTCAAAGTGAATCTAGTCATTGACATTAAATTAAAAAGAAAAAAAGGATTAAAAATAAGTTTTCCCCGAAATTTCACAATAGCGATGTTAATATTCAACTCCATAAAACAAACATATAGATTGACATTTAAAAAGGAATTTGAAAAGTGCAAAAAGTCAACTTGGCTACAAATTTCTAGTAGGGCACAAAATCATTTCTATAATTTTGCAGATGAAAAATTTTGCAACAGGTTCTGTTACTGTCAGTTTCAAATAAGTCAGCTTGATTTAACTCCTTAGAAGCAAGACTGCAGCTCTGAAACTAAAATTTCAGGATTTTTTATCCCGATAGCAGACACAGGAACATATAAAATAGCAATTGTCCTAAACTGTATGCGAATTTTGAAGGCATCACTTAAGCATTGCCATGGTGTAAAACCAGAGTCTGCAATAGAACTGTAAGCAGAATCAAAGAACGTACGGTGGAGTCAGGCACTTCATATTGGTACACTTGATTATGTGGTTCAGGAACTCTCTCTCATCTTGCATCACTGTATTTACAGCAACCTAGAAAACAGAATAAACGCTAGTCAGGGGTATCATCCAAATGTTGCAGAGATGCATTGCCTGAAGGTTAATATATAAGTAGAAGTCTATATGAATTATCAACATAGTTTTTCTTAAGCACGTACATTAACCTCTTGAACTTGTGTTCCCCCGATAACCTTCAGATATGAAGACTAAACAAAAAACTTAATACAATATTCAGTCTACGTTTTCTAACTCAAGAAATGATAGAGAATGAGCAGAACCTGACTTACCAAATACGACCTGACTGAACTAGCTTGAAAGGATACACAATGTCAGTTCATTTTTTGCGTTTAAGGTTTACATGGATCAGGTTTTTCATGTCAGGATATATGAAGCATATTCTCCATCATCATTTTGGTACGGGGTTGCAAACAAATCTGACTAACGGTCATTAATTATCAAGCTGTTGTTCTCATCTATCACTAGAAAATGCTCAGCATGCATCTACTTTCGTTTCTTTCAAGTGTCTCCTCACTAATATCAAGGAGGAAAGCCAGCCCACAAAATTTGGTATTGACACCAACATATTACTTAGCTAAAATGAATGGTATGACAAAGCTGAAGTATAAACATACAAACTTCAATAAAACATACTCATTTCTAATATCAGAGTATCATCATCAATTGCATATATAGTGGATAAAATCGTTGGGATAAAACAAGTCACAAATAGTATATCTTAGCACTTAAACATAACTCTAAAAGCATGCAGTCAGATTTCATAAAGATACCAAAGGCTTACTAAAAGAGAGAACATCATTCAAAAGTCTAATCAACAAGCTTTTTTTCTCTTTTCCCTTTTTCCCCCTTAGCATGAACATGGACAACACAGCAGTTAACTCCATATATAGATTCAACGGAAACATCTACCTTATTTTCCCATTCAAACTCAGCCCACATAGTTCTAAATGCCACATCGGCACAAGATGCAGGAGAGATGTAGTCCATGATATCAATATGGATGTCATTGAGAACAATAACTGTTCTTTCAAGCACGTTTGAAGATGTCTCATAGACTATGTTACCAAATATAACCCCTGTTTCAGTTGAAGACACCTTGATGTTTGCCTTAATCTGTTTGCTTGACTCTGGAGCTAGGGTATAGTTTTGCGGACGCTCAACAAGTTTGAGATCGCCCATGGTTGCCAACTCCAAACACAAATTTTGAAGAGTCTCCTTGGTTCTGTTGATGACAGTAACATCAAGGACAATGTCATAATGATTTACTGTCACATATGCTTCAGCATATACAGGATCACTGAATCCAGTGAGCTGAAGAATGCGATTCAGCTTATTTGCATCATCTGCATCCTTTGTGAACTCTCCAGTAGCACGTTTGAGATCATCTTGAACCTCATCTTCTAGCTCAAGCTGACTCATACCCTAATAAAAAGATATAGAGCAATGAGCAAATGACAGTTGCTGATTCAAAATCAGTTAAAATATCATGTAGAAACATGTAGTAATTACTCCAGACAGAAGCCAAAGTCAGAAACTTAAAATACAAGGTCGATTGCATTATCTAAAACATCAAGGCATAACATACCATGACTCCATATCAGCACTAACATATCAAAGTTAACATGTTATTATGAGGAAACCATCAGAAATGGAGTCCGAAAGATTAACTCATTTATACACACTTTAAAAGGAGATCAATACTACAAAGTACCAAGATACCTTTCTGCTCTTCAAATGGTAAAAGTCAATAAGATCATCAGGTTGTGCATTGGATATTTGAGACTTAGCTTTAATCTCCTCTGTTTCACGGCACTGCTTATCTGAAAGCATTTTCACAAAGCTCTGTCTACAGGATTGCAACCAGATCTTTCTTATTTCATCACCTGTGTTGCACAACAATCTAATGCAAAGGACAATCCTATCATGAGAATCATTATCCATTGGATGTGGAAGAACTGAAGATTGACCCAGCTGCAGAATAGAGACCATGATCAACAAGGCCTGTGTAGTTGCTTTGTTAACTTCAACTTTTGATGTTTGAACCTCTTCTAACCTCAAGATGAGTTTAGTCAGTGTACACGCGATTACTGCCCCAAGAAAGAAATCACCTGAGAGGATCAGTGATCTCAGATTTCCAGTAGAAGACTGCAATCCCTGTACAAGGGTAGGAGGCAACAATGCAGTTTCCACAGCAGCACTTTGTGTAGCATAGGTCCCATCTGCAAGGACGGCAGGCCTCCTAGAACTCACACTGGTTAAGCTTACCAGTGGTGCGCTTTTAGATGTGTCTTTGCCCTCCCCTTCCTCATTAAGAGTATAAAATGGGAGGTCCCCCACACACTGTTTAATTGTTGCAATTCCACTCTCAACTTCTGAAAGTGATAGGCAATATTCACCAATTATCCATAACGCACATGAACAAACCCTTGCAGCACGGATTTGGTAGAAAGTATCCAAAAGCCTGGTGACAATAGAAACACGTAATTTGGGGTTTGTCTCAATGATCTCACGCACAAAAACAACCACATCCATGGCTGAAGCCACATTGGTATCTCCCAAGAAGTCCATCAACAGGTGCACAACGGTGCTTGCCACCTCAGGGAACTTAATAGCACAGGAATGTATAGCCTGCACGAGCATCTGCCTATATTCACCATTCTTCTCATGCTCCCCGCCCTGAGTTTTGACAACTTCTTTCTTTAGCATCATAACGACCTCACCAATATTCCTAGGGGCTATCAATTCCAGTGCAATATCTAGGGTCTTCCTCCTAATATCAAGATTTGGACTCGAAAGCGCTCTAAGAATATCCAAAACCATTTCCACCATAATTTCTCTATAGGAAGTTTTTAGTTCATTGAGCCTATCGAGTACAATAAGTTTGACATTATTATCACTTTGTGAAAGCAAGAGCTGCCAATAAGTAGTAGCTGCTGCTCGAATAGCAGTAGGGGCAGAGGAGAGGGAAACAAGGGTGCCGGCACATTCATAAATAACAGCAGTTGATGGGGCATTCAACAAAGAAATAATAAGCTTGATATACTTTCCCTTCTCATCCTTGTTAGTCCTACAGACTTTCCTAATCAACTCCAAAACAACCATTTGAAGTTGTTCGCCCCAATCATTAATTCTATCAATATGAGTCAAAAGGTAATTAATAGCACGATCCTGAGCACAATTGAAGAGCATAAGGAAAGCATTACGCTTAGTGGAATTATCCTGCTCGGTGGACAAGAGCTTGTCAATGATTTCAGGGGCACTATCGAGCAATAGCTCACCTTGAGGAAGCTTGTAGAGGGACATAACAGCCAGAACGGCATTCCTTCGGACAAAAGGATGGCGATGCTCCAAATTGGAAAGAATGGATGGGATCAAAGGCTCAATGATCTCTGTCTCGTTCAAACGGCAAAGAAACCGCAAGGTGACACCTCGGATGTACTCATTAGGATGCTGGAGATTGTTTCGGAGATTCTGGCAAATAAGGATCATCTCGGGAAGGACCTTACCCTTGGAATCGGTTTTGTCAATGATCTCGAGATAGAGAAGGAGAAGCTTCTGAACAGTGTGATCCTCGGAGGGAAGAACATAGCGAATGATGGTAATGAACAGCTGAGGAATGGTGTCACCGTTGAGCAAAAGCATGATGGCCTTCTTCATGGCGTCGATTTTGGCGGCCACATCGTTTCCTTCGAGAGCTTCTTTGATCTCATTGGCAAGTGCTGGTGTGCCCTTGTCGAAGTGAACCAGTAAAGTGCATGACTTCTCCATTTCTAATCTCCAATCTTTACGCGCAATTCAGACACTTGCTTTCAGATCTGAGATATCTGGAACTCGTTTCGATCTACTGCTTCTCCTCTCGATTGCATCTGAGAATTCTCAGACAATAAAAGGGAAGAAAATGAAGGAGTTAAAATGACATATTGACAATTGAACTGACGAGCGTTGAAAGGGACGGGTCGGGTCGGTATCAATCCCGGGTCGTTGGTAACGGGTGAACGAATTGGAAACCAATTGGGCTTAACACTGTGTTTATTGGGCCCCCCGCCCATGGGATCCAAACTAAAATTATGTCTACAGAAATATTGCTTTGGGCTGCATCCAAATAAACATTTAAGTTCATGGGCCCAGCAATCGGCTCAAAAGAAGAAATATTGTTTTCCTTTTACCAGTACAATCAGGTCTAGTAAAAGAAGCTAATCTCTCGTAACATAATGAATTAATGTTCAAATTTTTGTTAGGAGAGGTGCCAGCATTATGCCAATATTTTTCAGTATTTGTTGATTTAGTCCTGACTTTTCTTGTACTACCTACAATCCTTAATATAAAAGTTAGTTCGAAAGTTATATTTGACCTTAAATATAATATCTCAATCAATTTTATTTTTTAAATATATAATATTTCATCCAAAATATCCTTATTTATTGTGAGAATTCTCATTAAGAAACAATTTCCATGCATATAATTAAAGAGGTTAGTTTAAAAAAGTTAACACAAATTTGTTTCTAACTCTTATATTATGAACGGGAGGAAGTATATGGCTAGTAAGTAGTAACCACTCGAACATTGCTGGAGTGTTCAGCTCTTGAAAAGGAGGGTTGCAAGGACAAACAAGATTTGGGTTATGAAAGAGAACACGTTGGGAAGGTTCTAAGTGGCAATGGTGAATGGTGTGATTTTTGGCATGTATACAGACTTATGGTCAATTTTTAAAAATGAAGTTGATTTGAGAAAGGAGATTTTTTTTGGAGAAAATTGCAATAAATCCCACCCAAAATAATTAAATATAAAAAAGTTTTTAAAAATTATCAAATTATTCTGAAATCCCAAGAGATTTTATTACAAGAGATTTTATTTATTTAATTATCAAATTACTCTTATGTTTTTTTAAAGTATGTATTAATAACTGAAAGAGTAATCGTTAATAACTTAAGGTGTAATTATTAACAACTATCATGGTAGATATTAACAAAATTGTAATGCATGAGTTGTCAGTATCTGCTGCGATAATTATTGATCATTACATTTTAAGTTGTTAACGACTGTAGTTTTGGTTGTCAATATATACTTTAAAAAAAGATAAGAATAATTTAGTAATTAAATAAAATAAAATCTCTTGCAACGAGATTCTTTAAGATTTTAGAATAATTTGATAATTGAAGGGACATTTTTGTATTTAATTATCTTAGGTGAGATCTTATTACAATTTTTTCCATTTTTTTTCCCTGAATGAAGAGTATGTGAGTAGAGATTTCAACCAAAAGCTCTCGCCTTTTAGATACAGGTTACCAAGAAGCAAAGTGCAATTATTTGGCATTGATTTAAAATTAAATCAGACTCAACCAATGCAAATCTTGTTGTTATTATCGAAAACGTGCATGAAACATTTGGAGAGAAACCGATTAAACGATATAAATGTTATAAATAAATACTACTAATTTTTTAAAAGTTTATAATTAAGTCATATTCAATGTTTAAAATATTCATGTGTATTTTAAAAGAGTAAAATATTTTGACTACTCTTATCGTTTGAATCTACTCTTCTAGTTTGAATCAAGTAAACTGACTTCCTCTTTATTTTAAAAACATATAGTTTGGTCTAATAAGTTAATACAGTTACAAATATTATAAAAAAATTCTAAAAAATTTATTTTAACTGAAATTTATGTTAAAATAAATTTTATTTATTATTTTACCCCTCATTCTAATAAATCCCTAAATTATATTTTTACAGTCACACAAATTTTATTCAGTTAAGGCAAATGTAAAAGACTTAATTAAAAATTTGACTAATTCTTTCAATAAATATATATACTTGACTAAATATGTTTATACATTTTTGTAACAAATGTGTTTAAAAGTTTTCAATTATAAATTTAAATAATGCATAAAATCTTTCAAGTTTATATTATTTAAACTTTATTGAAATATATTTTTACAATTTAAAAGAAATTAAAGTAAATAAATTTTAATGAATGTGATAAAAATTAAAATTATAAAATTTTATTATTTAAATAAAAATTAATAAATTTTATAACATATTATAAATCTTAAAAATATGTGTATTAGAATTATTTTTTGATTTTATAAAAAATATTTTTTTGAAAAATATAAATGTCTAAATAATTATTATGTTAAGTAGGGGCATTTTAGTCAAAAACAATTTAAAGTCAAACTTAACAGTCAACTAATAGTTTGAGTGGATGGAAATGGAATCTTAAATATAAGAAGGAGGTTTGTCTACCAGACATTTTAATTTGGAAAGAGGTTTACATAAATTTTCAAAATAGAAAAGATACTTTTCTAATTAAAATAAAATAGGAGGGTAGTCGATTTTTTTTCAAAATCAACATCAAATCGAATCAAAATGGTTTTCTATTAATGAATTATAAAACCAAAAATTTAGGCGCAATCAGGTTAAGATGGGTATGTTCACCCAAGTCGGGGCATTGATGACGAGGAAAATTCTGATCAAATACGAGAATTATTAATTTTTTAAAATGGGAAAGTTTGAGAGGGGAAGTCGGAAACGAAAGGGTGGTTTCGAAGGCATATGTCTGATTGTCTCGAGTGACGAAGACACGCGACCGGTACTTTCTTTTGTTTTTTTAGGTAAACCAAAGATATTTTCAAATCATATTGAATCTGAGACTAATTTTTTTTTTTTAGATTTAGAATAGTGAAGAAATAATCTTCTCAACAAGTATATCTTTTATAATTTAAATTTATATTCTCCTCTTTATAAGGTGATTGGGTGAGACTAATATCACTTCAACCAATAATTTGTTTTTTTTTTTTTTGATACAGCTGTACCCGCACTACTCGGTAGCCATAATAAATTACCTGCGGAGAGTTCTGACCGGAAGAATTAATCAATAGGAGTGCTAAGTTTATATGATGATCCTTCACTTATGAGGTACGTATTTTACTGAGTTTGCCCCCACTTTAATTCCCTTTTCGTAATGTATTGTATGCCCATTTTACATGCTGTGGCATCTCTGTGGCTTTATATTATTACCCATGTTTTTATAACTAGGCCAAATATTGAATTGCTCAAGAGGTATATTATATTGGTTTAAGATTTAATGGTTAAACTGTGATTGAATCCATTTTAATTAAATTAATAGTATGATTTAATGGTTAAGCCAATTCACTTTTTAGCTGGTTTTGAGATCGTTTTGAAATGAGCAGTTGATTTTCACAAGGAATTCAAAATTAATCTTCAGCAATTCACAATTGATCTACTTGGATTTACAATTGAAGCTTATTAAATTTTTATTAAAATGTCTTATAAATTAAAACATGGACCTTAAACAAATATGGTTTGTGCTTCATCCTTAATTTTTATGGCGGGTTCGGATGGGGATAAAAGAGGAAATCATTATTAGGTCTCAATAAAAGGATTTGACCATCCAACAATTAGTGAGCCAAACATGTATTTTAATTCATTCAGACTTTTCAATTTTTCACACAAACCCTTTCTTTCTATCTTAAGAGGTGTTTGGATTAGCATTTTAAAAGTAATTTTATATTATACGAAATAAATATGAAAAAAAAAGTTTTATCTCCACTTACTTAAAAATAGCAAGGAGAATTAGAACAAAGAACCTGTAGAAAAAAATATTTAGCAAAAAAGATCATAAAAATTAGAATTATTTTAAAGGATTGAATATTAAAATATAATATTTTAAATACCAAATTACCCCTATCCCCTTCTTTATTATTTCTATGATTCTCTTAGCAATTCTTCTGCTCTTGTTTTCATTTGATGATTTGTGCATTCGAAAAAAAATTAATAGTACATTCAGAATCATTTCAAAAGGTAACATTTAGACCCATTTGTCACTCATAATCCAAAGTCTATAGTCGCAAACTTTGCTTTCAAATTATCCATTGCTTATTGATTTCTAAAACTTATATACATTAATCAATGTCTACAGCACATGCGAAGATCCTAAGGTGAGACTGCGAAATTAATTACAATACACATGACTTGCAATTATAGAAATAGAAGGGAAAACTAATTCTTATTGCTTATTTTTTAGTAGGTCGAAACAACATTAATAGGGTAAAACAAACAAACTTGCGTCAAAGATATCAGAAAGCAATCACTAGTAGATGATAAAAGTTTGTCACAAAATGCATAGAAGCCTTTATCATCATTGGTGAGTTCCAAGGGTTTTCTAATTTTGTGTGGGATGGGGCGCAGGCCAACCAAAAAAAAAACTCATTAACTATCAAATAATTAAGATGTAATAAGAGAGAACATAGAAGGATTAGTTAAGGACAATTTAATCTTTCTAAAATTATTTTTTTATATATGGTTATTTAAAATAATTTTAATTTTTGCAATCTTTTTACTAAATATTTTTCTCTGCAAGTCTTTTATTCTAATTCTCCCAAAATAGTATCATTTTGTAACAGTGAGAAGGCAAGGGATGGGAGCGATAGAGGAAAGAGAACCAATACCTTCCAATAAGATAACAAGTAAGGAAAGTCCTAAAAAAGAAGAAGAAGAAGTAAATTTAAGTACAAAATTTAAAAAAAGAAAGAAATACTCCTCTGATCCTATTTTTTAAGTAAATTTAAGTACAGGAAAAGAATATATTTTTTAGTCATATTTATAGGTTTTAAGAGAATTTTTTTGTATGGATATACAATTTTATTCTTAATATATTATTGTGTTGATTTTATTTTGATGAGATTTAATTTATATTAAATATTGATAAAATTAAAAATTATTAAATTTAAAATAAAAATTAAATTTAAAATTTTTTTAATTAATATAAAACATATTGAAAGTGATTTATAAATAAAATAAGAAAAGTGCCACAAAAACTGGAGAGAGGAAATTAAAAAAAAGTAAATCATAAATGGTAATGGGATATGGGAATATCCGAGTGGGAGTGAGTAGCGGGTGACTTCAGTATTAGGCGTTGAGTCTGATGCAGCGGTGTCCCCATGCGAGCGCGACAGTGACTGACTTCCGCACTTAGCGGCTAGCGTCTCTCCCATTTGCTGGTGATCGTCTCTCTCATCGGTCCCATCTTTCCCCGCTCCTTTATCCTTCTCTCTCACGTTATCCCATTCTTATTTTACTTTTAATCTTCCTCGAATTCTATATATAAATAAGGGATAATTAATCCATAACTCTTTATAGTTTTAATTAATTTTGAATCAGGTTCTTATAATTTTTTTTATTAGGTCCTTATACTTTCACCTATTTTTAATTAGATCCTTGTATTTATTTATTTTTATCAAGTCCTTATAAGTTCACCTTATTTTTAATTAAGTCCCTGAATTTTTTATTCTTTATTTTATAAATTCTGATAGTACTATTATATAAACATAAAATAGTATATATTATTTAATATTAGTTTATAAACAATAATATTCTAAAGATATTGAATTATTATAATGATTTTAATTTTTTCAGCAAAAAAATTAATTGTTCTAAAAAATGTTCCTGAATTAATTAATTCTATTACTTTTTTATTACATAATTATTAATTTAATTTAATTATTAATATTTTATATTTCAGTATTAATCTATTTAATTAAGCTTATATTTAATTAATAAATAAAAATTAAAACTACATGGACCTGATTAAAAATTTAGTGAAATTATAAGGACTTAATTAAAAGAAAAATAAATACAAGGACCTAATTAAAAAAAGGTAAAAGTATAAGGACATGATAAAAAGAAAAAAAAACTATAGGGACCTGATTCAAAATTCGTTGAAACTATAAGGACTTGCGGATTAATTAACCCTATAAATAACAACGAATTAAAATTAAATTATGTTGACTAAAATTAATCAAAAGCAATATATGGGTAAGAGATATAATTTATAGATGGATTAATGATGTTGATTGTTGAATTGTTGTTAGGTGGTTAATTTAAGGAGATTAAGAAAATAAGTTAAGTTAGTTATTTATAATAAATATGTGTTGTTTTTCCTAAAATATCCTTACTAATCAAGTTTGTTGGCTAAAGTTACGACTATTAGAAGGACTGTCTTGGAAAAAATTATATAAATATAAGAGATAAAGTGGATTGAAGTCTTATATTTAGATTTAGAATCAAAATAAAAGTCAAATAGGATCTTATACTACCTTCGATCCTTAATATAAGACCCTGTTTGACTTTTATTTTGGTCCTAAATATAATTCACTTTGTCTCTCATATTTTTACATTTTTTTCCAAAGTAGCCTTTCTAATAATGATAGTTCTAGTCAATACACTTGATTAGCACGGATATTTTAGGAAAGACAATACCTATTTAGGACAAATAACTAATTCAACTTACTTCCTTAATCTCCTCAAATTAGTTAACTGGTTCTTATAATTAGGACCGGAGATAGTATTAAGCACCGAAGGTAGTATTTATATTGACATGATATAAATTGTTAAGTAAGAAAATAATAAAAAAATTGGAGATAAATCCTTCATTTAGAAATTAATTAGAAAATGGTTCCTAAAGTTTTTGCGCAACTTAACTTTTTTCATGCAACTTAATTCTTCTCGTGTGTAATTTATCTTCTCTTATGTGTATAATCATCTTCCCTTATGTTACTTTTTTTCTCTATGCAAATGCAATGCATATTTCTTTACGTGCAAATCATCTTCTATATATACAACTTAATTTTCCTTATATGCAGCTCATATTTCTTTGTGTAACTTATTATCTTAGAAACAATTTGCTAATTAATTTTCTAACAAAAAATTTATCTCCAATTTTATTAAAATAATATAAAGTTTAAAATTTTAAATGTGGGGAAGAATTATAATACTTGTTTAGATGTTATTATATAAGGTTGATCTTACATATAAATATATAAATAATAAAATCAGAGATAAGAATATATAGGGTGTGTTTGGATGAAACCAAACCATGGTTTGAAAAAGTGATTTTAGAGAATAGATTCTAGGAAGAATAGATTTTGGAAAGAATAGATTTTATGAAAAAGTGATTTTGAAAAATGAGAGTGTTTGAATAGTTGTTATCAAAAACACTTTTTATATATACAAATTACTAAAAAAAAGACATAAGTTAATATGATAATTACAGAAAAAATAGATTTTATGATATATTTTAATTTGAAGGAATAAAATTGTTAATAATATATTTTTTATTAACATAATTAATAATACATAAGATAATATAATTAATAAATAATTAATATGTATATATATTTATAAAATATAAGATTAAATATGTTTATAAAAAAATATGTTTATAAAAAAAATAACAAGATACATATCCTATAGGCTCTCACACTCTCCTTTTTTTCTCTAAAAGCAAAAACTTTTTACTTTTTCCAAAACCATGGTTTTGGTTTTTGGGTGGGTGTTTGGGTGATTTATTCTCCAAACCATGGTTTGGGGTGTCACCCAAACACAACCATAAACAATAAAATTTTAAACAATTCAAATTAAAAAAATTCACGAGTTCTATAGATGTCAGGTAAATAGTTGCTTTATAGCAATGAAACCATTCGTTGCATTTGGACGAGTTGATATGTGTGTTTGACAGCATTAAATATAAAATTTATTTTGTAGTGTAATTTATAATTTTATAATTTTATAAATTACACTATAAAATGAGTCTTATATTTAAAATAAAAAAAATATTAAATAGTAATTAAAAAAAAAGAAAGATAAACACAGGTATTAGGGCTTTAGAGTCCATCTCCGTCTACCGTCCCTTGCATCGCAAGCTTTCCACGAGAGATGTCCAAACCAACCCTTTCTCCTATATTTTTGTCATCACTCGGCCCTTCTCAAAAAGCACACAGTCAATTTATTTATTTATTTATTTTTCAATCTTTCAAGCGAAATTTTTTTATTAACGACAAATTTAAACCAAATATTGTGGTCAGGATAATTAACCGTTGACGTCTTCTCGTTTAAATTATGAAGAACTGCATACACACACATGTATTATAGCGATTTAGTATTTGTAAAACTGAAATTTATATATATTAGAGTTTGTAATTGAAATTTGGGTAAAAATAAGTTCTTAATGTAATTTATGTTTAAAGGCTTTTTTCAAAAAAAAAAAAAACTGAACCTTTGTTTGAAATATATAAACAAATAATGCAAAATAACTCTTGGGACCTAAAATCATGGTCTGGAATTTGGATTAGTTCAACATTGATCCAAAAATGCCCGAAATTTCTTTAAATATTTTTTTATACAAAATACAGCAATTTATTTAAATTTTATTGAAGTAGTACTATTACATAAAAACTAAATACTACCTCCGGTTATTAATATAAAGTCTTGTTTGATTTTTATTTTAATACTAAATATAAGACTCTAATCTATTTTGTATCTCATATTTATGTATTTTTTTTAAGATAGTCTTTTTAACAATAGTAACTATAACCAATACACTTGATTAGCAAGAATATTTTAAGAAAGAAAACACATATTTATTATAAATAACTAACTTAACTTCTTTTCTTAATCTCCTTAAATTAGTCAACTAACTCTTATAATTAGGATTGGAGGTAGTACTTTACTTATTTTGATAAGAATAAATATAATTGTAGGTTGTCTTTTGTTACAAAAATGTTCAATACATCTGTCGATCGTAAGAATATAAGTATAAAAGCATAGAAAGATATTGTTAACCACTATTCTGAGCATTTTTTGCAGCTTGAGCGAAGGAGAGAGAATCTTGATCCTTTGGAAGTGAATCAGGTATTTAATATTTTCATTTTTTTTGTTGTTTTGTCGTTTGAATTTTGAATAGGGTTAAACCTAAAACCTTGAGATCTGCGTCTACCTTCGGGATCTACATCTTCTTCTTCATCTCAGTCATTGACAAAATCTTACTGTACTGTTAGTTAATATATTGGGTTTTTGTCCTGAAGAATTCCGCTGCCTGAATTTTACTTTCCAACTTGCTCTTTTGTTTAATGCGTGGCCATCGATTTCAAGATCTGGGGTTTACCTAGATAACGATAAATTAAAGATTGGTCTTCTTCCATCTGTAATCAATCAGCGGCTCTTTTCTCAAATCTAACCCATCAACCGTTCAACAAATCCAAGCGACAGGGCGATTACTGAGTTGACAGCATGTTTATTTATATTAGTGAAAGCGAATCCTAAAGACAAAGCAAATCCACGTAAGAGGTTGGGCAGCCCATGATTTTTATCGGAAAGTGTCGGTGGTGTGTAAAAGGATCTTCTGCTTGCAAAGAAACAAGAAATTTCGGTCTTTGACGCTCTCACTGGAGGGTGTGCGTTCTCTTTCTTCCTCAATTTTTGGCTAAGCTTTCCATTTCAGCTCGAAAAGCTTTCTTCTGGGTCTTCATCCTTTGTACTTTCCCTTATGCTGCTTAAAAACTGAGGTTTACGCTTCTTTCTCTATTCTGATCTTCGCCCACTTACAGTGAGTCTGAGACCTCAGAACTATTCTCAAGATCCAAAAGGAAGACGCGCACCATGGGGTTCGATTTGAAGCAAGTGGTGGCTGGCATTCTCACCCTCACCATGTTCGTGATGCTTGGCAATATGATCAAAAGGGACCATTTTGATTCAGTGGAAGTAAGTACGACTTAATCTCACTCATATTATCGCATTCACCACAGTTTTCTTTTCAGCCATCTTGGTTGCCTTGTTCTTTTTCTATATCTCAAAGTTGGTGCCTCGATCCGGTTAATCTTGCAAATGGTGTTGAATTTCCATTTGCATTTTTTAGTTGTTGTTGTTCACCAGAAATCATATCCTGATGTCACGGTTAAAGTGGAGTGAGATATTGAAGCCAGATGAGTTCATTTGACATGAAACTGAAGGGTTAAACCGAACCCATTGTTATGTCTATCCAGAGAAAGAGCAAGAGCAAGTAGAGATGATAGATCTTAGTTTTTAAACAAGGACGCAGTACTTGAATGCCTATTGACCGAGACACTATACATACTAATTTCTATGTTGATAATTTTTTGATAAAATAACGGCTACCTTTTCAAAACGGCAATTTCATTTGTGAGTGCCAGTAAGTTATGATTCTCTGGTGACTGCGAAACCATTGGTTGTTTATTGATGTTGCATGAAATGAGGGAAATAAAGAAATTTTTGTGAGAAAATGGAAATGCGTCCCTAAACTATAATAACTGAACCTCAGAATTCAGTTTCAGTCAAATAGGTATAGTACAAGCTCAAGTCAGCTAATTCGGCAAATTTAAGGCTTTCTTTCTTTCTCTTATCCCATACACTCTATCACTCCATGGAATTTTCTTAGCTCGTCAGATTCTTCGCTTTTGATCTGTTCAACCGGATAATTTTATATTTATGGTTAATTAACTTATTCACTTAAATTACTCTTTGGAACTTCAAGGACCAACTTCCTGGAGGAACAGAGTCGGCTGACTTTGGGAAAGCAAACTTTGATGCTGCTCATGTGAAGAAGAGTATAGGGCTTTGGACTGGAGATGCTGACGAGCTAAAAGCATGCTGGGTTAAACCATCTATGGGTAAGTTTTTATTTTTAAGGATCCCGGATCATTGAGTTCGCATAGTTTACTTGCACAAAATCACTTGTGCTCAATCAATCCTTTCTCATGAATTCATCTCTTGGCTTGCTGGCAGACGATGTAGAGCAGACTGAAGGCTTTGTTACTTTTTCTTTGACTAATGGTCCTGAGTATCATATTTCTCAGGTACCTGATTCAACTATTCTGTTACCGTGGAAGTCCTTTGTATCTACTATATATCGGTTTGCATGCTATTTCTCAAATTTCTCTTCCTTTTATGTGTTTTTGGGCCAACCTCAAAGGGTTTCCCCCCCCATCCTTTCCATATTTCTTTGCTCAAATGGGTTTCGTTGCCCTCCTGTCGTGTATTTTGTTTCTAAGTGAAGTTTTATTTTTATTTTATTTTATTTTTTAATCACACGCCAAATGAAAACGGTTCTCAAGCCCTCTTCTTTTTAAACCCAGCCTTCCCAGCCTCTGCACTATCTTTAATCTGATCCATTCATTTAACTAACCGATAATATGATTGTTCATTATGTTATATTTTAGTCAACTGATGGATGATGATGCAATTGGTTCATTCATTGGCGTGGCTTCTCATATATGGCTTTATCTAATTATCATTTTTAACTTAGCTTCATCATTGAGTTCAACACTTTTCAACATTGGTAGTTTTTTTGTTATTCTTTTTCTTTTCTTTCCCTGCTAATTTCAGCTCCTGCTAGAGTCTGTAGTTTCATTTCCTATATTCATCACTTCTCTGGTAATGCTTGGTTTAGATTGCAGATGCTGTGGTTGTTGCTAGACGTTTGGGTGCAACACTTGTTCTCCCTGACATCCGAGGAAGCCAACCTGGTGACAAGTGGTTAGTGCCGATTTCCATTTTGTGAAAGATTTCATATGCTTTGCCAAGGCCTTGAAGGAGGAGTTTGTTAATTATTTTAATCATAGTCTCGTAGTCTGACCTCCATCCATCATAGTTAGAGTTTTTGATTAGGCACTTATCTGTTTTCTGTTAAGTAGCCGTAATCTTATTGCTTTCTTCAATTTCTTCTATTATCCTTGTTATCAACCGAGATACTTGAGCTAGAGCTTTAGGCAATATAGCAAAATTGATTGACATAACCTTTTTGCTGATAACTTTTCCCCCTTCTGTCCTCTCATACGAAATGCTTGGAATATGTTTACCCCCCTCTTGAGCATCTAGCATTAGTTTTTTTGATATAACTACTTTTGCTATAATGGAACATCGAGTAAATAGTAGAGATTTCAGTTTGTTTATAACTTAGAGATAATTTGATTGAAATGACTGGAAAAGAAGTTGGTCCATCCGTTCTGTCTTTTTTTTTTCCCCCCTTCCTTTTTTCTTAAAGCTGTGTTTTCTTTATATCAATGCCAGCCATATATAACTGTTCCCCCTTCGCAATATATAGAGCATCACAGGGTTTGAGGAGGCCTTAGAATCCTAGGCTGGGATGATGTAAGATTCTTCGTTGATTAAGCACCATTTATCAACTTCTTTATTCCAGTATTGCAAGTTTTCCTCCAAAATGGTTTATTTTAGATGAGATGAATGTGACTCAAGATACTACATTGTTGAATAGCTCACAGTTTAACTCAATTGAGTACTTGTTCATGACTAATGGAATTGATACGTCCAGGAACTTTGAGGACATTTATGATGTTGATGTGTTCATGACAAGCATGAAGGGGGTCGTTAAAGTAGTAAAGGATTTTCCTGCTCAAATATCTACGCGGAGTCTTGCCGCTGTGAAGGTCCCTAATAGAGTTACTGAAGACTACATAGCTGAACATGTTGAGCCGATATACAGAACAAAGGGAAATATAAGACTTGCAACTTACTTTCCTTCAATAAACATGAGAAAGGAAGGAAATGCAGCTGATACTGATTCTGCCTCATGCTTAGCAATGTTTGCAAGTTTACAGCTACAGCCAGAAATGAAGGAAGTGGTTGATTCAATGGTAGAAAGACTAAGAACCTTGAGCCGAAAGTTGGATGGCCAGTTCGTAGCCGTGGACTTGAGGGTTGAGATGTTGGGTAAGAGGGGTTGCCAAGGAAGTGATGATGATGGAGTTAAAAGCTGCTACAATGCACAAGAAGTTGCAGCATTTTTGAGGAAGATTGGTTTTGACAAGGATACCACAATTTATGTGACTCAATCAAGGTGGCATAACAGCCTTGATTCTCTCAAGGAAATGTTCCCCAAGACTTACACAAAGGTGAGATTTAAGCCAGGACTTTTTGCATGCAGTACATCGGGGATTGAATATAGTAATTGGAATACTCAAATGAGATTATACTACTTTCATGTGTTTTTTATGTCATAAATTAAAAACGCTTATTGCTTCTGAAAACAAATGCAGGAAGCCATCATGCCTGCGGATAAAAAGATGAAGTACCTGGATTCTGAAGGTTCTGAATTCGAGAAAGTGATCGACTTTTACGTGACTTCTGAGAGCAATGTTTTCGTACCAGCAATCTCAGGTTTGTTCTATGCCAATGTAGCTGGCAAGAGAATTGGTTCGGGTAGAACTCAGATATTTGTCCCAGCTGATATTGTAGATTCATCTGCTTCTGCCTCCAAGTTTATCTCCCCTTATGTCTCCAAGAAAAACCACTTTGCCTATTCTTGTTATTGCTAGTTTGGTGTGAAGATAAGTAAATGTATTGAAGCGTTCATCAAAGATGGTCTTGCTTCTCCAGTGATTAGTTTACTCAATGAAGGTGGAACACGGGGGTCCTAACCACCCACCGACAATTTCAGTGTTAATTTTTTCCCCTTCTTAGATTATGTTGACCTTTTTTCATTAAATTATTATTGTTCACTTTACCAAAGTCCCTGTCATTTGATGTGTACACAGTGCTTTCTTTTCGTTGTTATGAATTATCTCTAGTCCTTAATATAAGAGCTCATTTGACTATTGTTTTGGTTCCAAATATAAGACTCTAATCAACTTTGTTTCTTACGTTTATCCATTTTTTCCTGATATAATCCTTGTAATAATGATAGTTCTAGTTAATACATTTGATTAGTAAGAATATTTTAAGAAAGATAATACATATTTATTATAAATAACTAATTAAACTAGTTTTCTTGATTTACTCAAATTAGTTAATTAGTTCTTATATTAAAGATCAGAAGTAGTAGTTTGTAAAATTATGGCTGTCTTGTCACCGGGAAAAAAAAAATTACGTTTGCCTAACTGAGTCCTCATTTTTGTTATTTGATAAAAAAATAATGATGTTATGTTCATTGCATTTATTAAACTTGTTCGATATAATGACTGATGTTATAGCAAGTTCTGCTTCATTCTGTTCTTTTCTGGCGTGAAATATACAATTTGTATTTGATTGAAAACCCTCAGCAACCAATCATAACTGAAGGAAACTTATGAATTTTTAGTGAATAATAATAATAATAATAATAATAATAATAATAATAATAATTATTATTATTATTATTATTATTAATTATATTATTATTATTATTATTAAAAAAAAGTAAAAGTATATGTTTGGCCTCCTAATTTTACATTAAGTTTTAGTTTAGCCTCATTTAATTGTGAAGTTGATGTTGGTTCTAGATATAAGGCTTATTTCATATGTTTATTAATTTTTTTTCAAATTAATCTTATTAATATTTCTAACAATAATCAAGTAGGAAAAGAAGAGAGGGAACTAAAGAAGATGCTTAGGGTGTTTTAGAAAATATATCATATTAACTAATTTAACTAACATTTTTAATTTACTTAAATTAGTTAATTAGGTTTTACATTAAATATTGAAGGAGTACATTTTTAATTTTTTAATCCTAATTCTGTTAGTTTTATTTAACGAAAAATGCTGCAAAGTTAAATGGTAATTTTACGATTAAATATCCACAAATCATATTTAAATTTTAATCCTTTAACATAGTCATTTTTATATTTTAAGATTAAAATAAACCTACTTAACAACTTGCTGATTATATCAAAGGATTGAAATTTATATAGTCATTTTTCTAGTTCAATATAACCTATGAGCATTAGGAAACTTGCAACTAACATTTGTTTTCATTTGATTCTATTAAATGATTAAAATTTAAGCATGTTTGTTACTATTAAATTGCTAAATCACCATTTAAATCTGTAGAATTAGCATTTTCCGTTGAATAATATTAACACTCTTAAAATTAAGAGTATGAAAATACAGTTTATAAATTGGCAAAAAAAAGAAAATATGTTTTTAATATTCAAGGGACTAAACCGAAATTTCTTGCAAAATTAGAGAACCAAACATATGCATTTCTTTAATAATAATAACAATAACGATAATAATAATAATAAATCGCTTGGATGTTGAAACAGTCAGATTAACCAAGCAGGAGATTCGAAGATCAAATTGGTTTGGTTTTTTAACCTGTTTACCATGTTCGGTTGTTCATTTTGGATCCTTAAATCCAATTTCTACTTGTTCTTTTCTGTACATTGAATTTTATAATTCATACTTCAGTCTTTTCAAGTGGTGGTTCCGTAGGGGGAAAAAAAAGAAAAAAAAAAAACCTACCACATGGCAGTGCTTTTCAATTTGTCGGTCTCGGTAGCCATGTGATTCCGACAATGCCAGGATGTAATACCGTAAAAAACATACGCAACCCAGATATAAAGGTGGGCAAAGATATATTACATGATGATGATAGCTATATGCTTTAGTAATTCCTAACGCCATCTGGTTCTCGTTTTTTATGCCAACGTAATTTACAGTGACACATGAAGTAATCCATCAAGTGCAGGCAGACTCAGAGAGCAGCATGAAACCGTGATATCTGTCAGTATTTCATAAACTTGTGTGATTCTCTCTGACAATATTAATATATTTACAGATCATCCGAAAAAGTCCGCACTAAACAAATTATTCTTAGAAGAAAGCACGTGTGTTATCAATTGTCACTTCACTTGCTGGTTAGGAAAAGCAGATCCACGGGTGATTCTTTTTGAGGAAGAAATGATGTGCTGACCTATTGAGTAGCAGGAGTTCTTGATCTCTTAAATCGCATAAGCATCCTCTTAAAGGTGCGAGATAAAGGTGTTTTTGGAACTGGGATGAACTTTCCAAGCACTGCAAGAGGCCAACTGTGACAAGGTAAAAGCTGTTAGTGATACTACACATGACACTTAATAAGAGAGCTATTTAGCTAATTTGAGTAGATTAAAAAAGTTAGATTAATTAGTTAATTATAACAAATGTTACCAGATCTTTTTAAAATACCACACGTAACATTAGATTATACTATATTTGGTTTTTAATATAAGAATTATTTGACTATTGGATTTGGTTCTAAATATAAAATTTTAATTCACTTTGTCTTCTAAATTTATAAGTTTTCAAATTATTCCTATTGATTGTAACAGATTCCCATTAATGGATAGTTTCAATGTACATCATTAAAGATAATTTAGGAAAGTCATTGCATATTTGTTACAAATAACCAATTTAATTAATTTTTCAAATTGGTTATCAAGACCTTATATTAAGGATCAGAGCTAGTATATTACTACCTTCGGTCCTATTTGTAAGACCTCGTTTGTAGATTATAAATGAGGCTTTATAAATACAATCAAAGTTTGTAGTTTATAAGTTTAGTAAATTAGTTCGGGAAAAAGTGATAAATATAAAAGACAAAGTACATTGAGTTATTATATTTAGGATTAAATTCAACCTTCAACTAGTTTTCACATTAAGTACTAGAAGAAGGATTATTACTATTGTAACCTCAACCTGAATAGAGGCATTCATATTTGAAAATTTCTTGAAGTGAAAAGAGAGAGAGATACAAAATGGTGGACTTTACTTCTAACATGTGGGTAAATGGGACCTACTATTATGTATTCATCTCTTTTCTCAATTTAGGTGAAGGCACTTGAGAGAATTTAACTTATAAATACATAATTAAAGGCTAATAATACTAGGAATATAATGAAATGATGAACCAAACCTGACGAGGCCAATGATAAAAGAAACGAGCCACAACTTCCAATCAAGCCTCACTGTGCTAGTGAACTTTCCAAGGAACTCTATAATGATTACCTAACAGATATGTATGGAATTAGGAAAGCATGTATATGCAGATGTGAACAATCAAAACAAACAACCATAGAAATGATCATTCACCTGAAGTATTAAGGTCAATCCCACAATACCCACAAAGAGACGGTTCTTGGTCACTCCAGTGAACACGTTCATTTGATCTGGTTTACGAGCATTGAACTCATTGAAAATCTGGATGTTCAAGCAGACTTAATGAGAATTGGATGAATTGGCAAATTCTTGCACCGTATGATCAGACCCATGGTATTTCCATCAATAATTAAGGAGCATTCAACATGCATATAACAATTGAACATGGGAAACAAATCATACAACACAACAAGACTTTCTGGGGACGTAAGGGAAACATGGTTCCCTCGACATTATGACTATTTCATTCGTGAATCTTAAATATTCACTTACTTGGCAGAGGACAAATGCATTGAAAATCAAAGTATTCTTCAGTTGCATTGTTTCGACCGCAGAGTTACCCCTGAGAATACTTTCTCCACCAAAATTAAGAGCAAGGAGAACCGCAATTTGATATACAGCCTACAACGACAAATAAAAGATTAACCCAAAAAGACGTTTCCAATACCAGCATCATGAGGCTCCTACCAGATGGGGTCTAGGGAGGGACTTTAAAGGGTTTCTTAAGGAAAATTACCTGTAAAAGCAAGTTCCTCCACATGTTATTCGTTATGAGAGGTTCCCTGCAAACCAAACACAAAATTACTGTGAAACTGAGCATCTAAAGATCAAATCAAGCATATTTAACTCTGGGGATGTATTTAAAGTAATAGCGAAGATGTTAACTAAGCTAACTTTTGTATTAATCTCGTAAGTTATTGGTCAACACGTGTGTGTATCTACGTGTAAGCTTCGCGTGGTGTTAGGGGAACTCAATTGTAAACATTTTACTACATGTTAGAAAGCCAGTCATTCCAAACCTTCGACCAACTGGCGGTCTGTGCATAAGGTGGTCAGTAGGCGGCTCCGTAGCTAGTGCCAGGGCCCCAAGTGTGTCCATGATAAGGTTAAGCCACAAAAGCTGTAACAAGGACACACACATCAGAATGACAGAAACCAACATATGTATTTTCATTAACCATGCCAGTTATTTACCACTAGTTAAATATCGGTCTTCATTCATACCGCAGATGAAACTGAAAGCTGAAAATTTACATGGAAAAACTAGAATTCAATTTTTAATACCTAATTTTCATCCTGACTTCTAAAGTTAGGTATATTATATAAAAACAAAAACTGCTCTTAAGCCTACTTCTAACAAGCTTAAGCTAAGGAGTTTGTTTCTTAACATGGTATTAAGAACTTTCATGGTAAAGGAAGTCAAAGGTATGATCCCTCTTGTCCCCCAATTCTCCCAAAAAAATTAAATCTCTTCAAAAAATATGGTGCTCTTTCACTTTGTCCATGCTTCAAAGTCAAAGGACTTTGTTTGGGGGGTGTGCTACAGTTTATTGGTAAAAAGAACCATCCCTAAGCCTTCTTATAACGAAGTTTTGGAGTGATGCGAATCCTCAACTCTTATATCAAGCTTTAGAAAGTAAGATGTGTATGTGATAGCTAATGCTTATAGATTAGAGAACGAAATATTGAATAGAGGAGGAGAAAGTGAGACCTGTACTGCATTTAAAGGAACATCACCCGAAGAAACTGCCGCCACAACATTTATGGCAAGAGCTGCTACATTAACTGTGAGCTGGAACTGTATAAATTTCTGAATATTTGCAGATACAGAACGGCCCCAGCGGACGACCTAAAGGAAGAATGAAGTAGACTACTTAAACAAGTTACACATTGGACCAATTAACTGTAAACTCGTGTCTCCGAGTGATACTGAACAAAAGTGAACCAAAACCGAATCATACCACGGTAAAATGGTTAAAAGAGAAGATGTACATTATTTCACCTCATCATGGGATCATTGGGTAGATATAGACCCGATTTTTTCTTTTTAAAAAAATCATAGGCTCACTCAAATTCTGTGTACCTTTACAACTGACGCAAAGTTATCGTCCAGGATTATAATATCTGAACTTTCTTTTGCGACTTCAGTTCCAGAAATGCCCATAGAAAGACCAATATCTGCCTAAAATACAAAATAAAATAGCAGAACATGACATCAACTATGGAAAAAAAAAAAAAAAAGAAGTTTAACAATAGTGAACTTTGGAACACCACCTCGATCAAACAAAAGAAGGCACAAGAAGAGACAAAAGAAAGAATTTGATGCTACCAACAACTCTATAATAAACTGCACGAAGCGGTACGATAAAATTTCACCAAACTCTGCTAAATGTAGTGCACGGTGGCATATTTGGTCAAGGTTGCTATTGTATAGAAAACACTAGTTAATCACATGATTTCACCTCCCACCCATTCTTGCAAGGGGTGGGAGATGGGGCACTTGTAAAGTCAAAATGCTAATGGGTAAGTCATGATTATAGAAGAAAAAGAAAGTTCTTGTTCACAGGAAAACACGCCTCAACTCACAAGTTGCAGCCCAAGTATTCCCAAATTCAATAATCTCATTTGAAATTTTGTTGCACTCAAAATGTTATCAATGGCTCAACACTGACAATTCAATAATAAAATCAACAATCACAGAGGCAAGCTTCATGAACTAAAGTCATGCTTGGATAACACACTTAAGCAGCTTCATAACATCATTGGACCAATAACACAGAACTGCATGTCAGCAAATAGACTACTTTTAGCATGATTTTTTTCTGGTTGATGCAATCAATTAAAGAAGGTTCAAAATACAGAGATGAAGCAATTCAGTAACAAATACATTTCATCTTTCCAGGTTGTTTCTTACACAACTAGAGAAGTTACAAAACTTGGAAGGAACATCAAGCCTCAAGATTGCACACCCAAGAAATATGACAAACCTCATGAAGAGCGGGAGCATCATTGGTACCATCTCCAGTAACAGCAACAACTTCCCCCCCTTTACGCAGTGCTTGAACAAGTAAAAGCTTGTCATTTGGAGAAGACCTCCCCATCACCTATGCATATCATGTAAATCACAATCAGCAAGTAACCCAAATCGGTGGGTTCAAAGCCAGGAGATTATGATCAGGATGGAGTGATTTTTTATTAGAACATTATTGTTAAATGAATATCATTCCTTAAATAAATATTTTCAGCTAATGCACATGCAAAAATCTCAATGAGAGAGCCATACTGTTATTTGTTTAGCAACTTGTTCCCTTTCATTTTCAGATAAGGCCCGGAATGTCTTTCCTTCAATGATAACTGGTTCAACAGCATCTATATGCGAAGCCAGTATCCCACACTCCAAAGCTATTGCCTTTGCGGTTTGAAGATTGTCTCCCGTAACCATGCGCACCTGAGATAAAAAACATACGATGCTTGGATTTCCTTAATTACATTTTTTCTTAACCCTCAAGCTTATAAGAATATCAGGAACCATATTTTGACATTATCATTAACATATTCCACATTAAACTAAAATTCATCTACGAACTTCATCAGCCAATTTCAGAACTATATCATCAAACACACAAAAATTAAAATCACCTTAACACCAGCGGCAGTGCATATTGTCACTGCATCTTTGACACCAGGGCGACATGGGTCCTGAACAAACAGATCCTTGTTAGCTTAGATGAAGAATGAAACTGGGTTATTCTTCAGGAAGAAGGCAGCAATCTAGTGCTGAAGCACAGTATAACTTGACTACATAAGCAGTAGTAAAGAATATTTTAAAACGCATAATGAGCTGTCCCCATTCTGGACGGAGTTAGAAAGTATACAGCCATAATTGTTTACAAATATAATTAAACATATATCAATGCCTTTACAAAAATTATTTCCTTATTTTAAATACAAAGGTAAGCTATGAGACAAAGCAAAATGCTACCAATTTCTTGCCCCATAGCAGGAGAGCCTTGAACTCTACCTTTATACCAACTATAGCAAGCAAAACAAGTTCATCCTCAGGTAAGGACCACTGGGCCAAATCCTCCTCATTAGAGGGAACTCTGTCCAATTCATATGAACGGTATGCAATGGCAACACACCGCAAACTGCGAGCAGCCATGTCTTCAATAGCTGCCTTGAAAAAGTCCTGGAAAAGATTTGTAAAGGAAATATAACCCAATTACCTTGAAAAAAAAGAAGACACAATTGCCAGCTGCTCTAAGTTACTAGACTGCTGAAAAAAATCCAGTTTCTGTAGCATCCATTGTATAATTGCCATGCAGCTTGAGTGACTTGAAAGTTGAAACAACAATATAACCATATATATGCATAGAGTGATTCAACTGTGGTGTGATTCCATATATTTTTCAAGTTGTGTTTGTTATTGGCATATCAAAAACTATCTCATCCAATTGTTCAAGGCGATGGCCTTCTCTCCTCATAAACATTATAGGAGTACACTAGGAAACTACTGTTTCTAACCTTCTCTTCTTCAATAGAAAGCAAGGAACCGTTTGAATCAAGATATTGAGAGCATTTTCCCAGTACTATCTCTGCAGCGCCTTTCCAATGTATATGTACTGTGGAATCCACATTCTAAACATGAAATTTTATTTGATTAGCATGGAAGACCATATGATACAATAGATGAAGAGATGAATCGGTGATGCTTTTATCAAATATATACCTGCTTCAGCAAGACACCACCTCGCTTTTTCTCTGAATTGAAGGGAAATACATGGAGAACTGTTGAATGTGACCTGATAAGATCAAAATCCATTCCCAACTGCCAAGTAGATTCAAGAAAGATACAAAGATTCAGCAGAAAATCAATTCAATAAGGTGAGAGGATATGTTCTAATGATACCTTGACTGCCCAAGAAAGGATTGCCTTTTCTGTAGGAGACCCTGATATCTCAGTCTCTCCAACATCCTAGCAAAGAATGAAGTCATAAAAGAAAAAAATTATAGATGCTTATTGGATATTAATACCAGGATTCAGAAAAGTACTAAGAGTAACCATTTTTGTAAGGAAAGCAGCTATAGAGGACAATAGCACAGGTTTGAAGAAATTTCGTTCTGCTAACAGGTAACAAATGTTCACCATTGAGACTACCGCAGCACCACAATGGTAACAAAAGAAGCTATGATTCTGATTTATTTCTCATCTGTCAGTTCACATTGTGTTCAATTACTTTTCAGCTTTATGAGCATCTGGGACAGGCATAAATATATGCTATATGGAAAATATGATTGCAGTTCAGAACTGAAAGGGCTAGTGCTAACTCAAATTTTTTGCCTTCAATCTATGCATATAGATGTAATGGAGAGTGTCAGAGTATTCATATTCTCTCCACTAGTCAAATTGAACATCTTATTGAACTGACTTTTCCTGTAAGAAAAATTTGCATTATATATTTCAACCTTACACCTATATCTTTTCACAAGTTGTTATCTTGAGAAATACTAGCGATCTTAAAATTTGTCTCTACTCTTTTAGGACTTCAAAATTAACAATTACTGAACTGGTAGGCCATATACAAAGAAGATCCCTGAAATTTTCTCTCAAATCCTCAAAGTATACATGTTGTTTTAAAGCACAGGCAACACTATATTAATTTCAGATCTCCTGAAAGTAAATCACATACATGCATTTTTATGCACAATTACGTGTGTACTTATGACTACGCATTTTCCTGTTTGGAGTCACGTGACGTTGTTCCTTAAACAGTAACCCCGCAAAAAATCAAGAGAAACTGCAAATATTAAGCCCAAGAGTTTCCTTGGTTGTTTTGATACCAGTACACAAAATGTAAAAGGGAACTTGATACTGTCACTGAACTAAGTAGAAAGGAAAACCTTAGGCACAAAAACAGTTCCAGTTGTATTCTGTGCAATGCCCTCTTTTATCAGAGATAAAACTTCTGAATTCAGCTTTGATGAGTCATCAGGTGAATTCAGTTTCTTCCTCCCAATGCATGCCTCAACCACGGCCATCTACAATGGAATAAAATCAGGTAACATTAAAACCTGATAATGCAAGATTTTAAATTAAACGAAACAAATGCAGATACCTATTTCTCTTTTAACAAATTGAAAAACTACTAGACAGACTGTGTCTGTTTCCGGATATGGACAAAAGTATGCACAAGGGTGGGTCTATCAAACAGCTGAGGTCATTCACCATGCACCTGATTGGCTCGAAGTGTTCCTTATCTATGTTTTCCCACATCAACTTAATGACAGCAGCCTTGCTCTTGTAAGGATTGCAGAAATGAAATTGCTTGGCTTCAGGGTCAGGGAATATAAAACTCTGGTGTTCATCTATATGAAGTTATATTATTTAAATTCATGGAAAACATCTTGCATGCTATTTAACAATAGGGTGCCAGTATCTAAGGTGAAATGAAACTTTGGGTAAAGGGCAACATGTGTTATGAACCCAAAATCACCTAGACCAGAGAGTTTTGTAGGCTGCATAATGTAAATTAACTTTTGCGGGTTTCATTCATCTCAAAATTTTAGGCCTCCCTTTGGCTTTTAAATGAATGAATAAGTAATTTATTGATCCGATGGGAATAGAGAAGACCAAAACAATTTTCTATATCTGAATCAAATCTCTGTTAATGAAAGTTCAAAATTAGATCTCAACCATATACAGGTTGTGACTGTAAGTATTGGGCTTCAATGAATACGAGCATTAATCAGCATGGATTAAATTATGGCCCAACTCCATTTAGACTATCTCAACGTCCTACTGTGGAACCCACCTGGTTCAAGGTTAACGTTCCTGTTTTATCACTGCAAATTGTTGTTGCACAGCCCATAGTTTCACAGGCTGAAAGCCTTCGCACCTGAATATCTGTGGTTATTAGAAACAGAAGTTCTAAAACTAATTGACAGAAGAACTGCAAAACTAAAAACGTTTTGGTGATTGGAGAATAATAAAATGAGATTTACCAAGGCCTTGTCTGCCATCATTTTCCGCATTGAGTATGCCAGGCTGTCATGAGAGCCAAGGTTAGAAATTATAAAAATTTTAAAAAATTAGCAGGAAAAACATTTTCAGAGGCCCACTATTAGACACATCTATTCCAGAATGAAACCGTCAAGTAGTCCATTCTTACGTTAAGGTAACAGCCAGAGGAAGACCTTCAGGAACTGCGACAACCACAATTGTGACCTGCACAGCTCTTTATTTTAGTTTCAAAAAGATAAAAATTACAAAAGAAGCAGAAGAACATGATGTGCAAAAACAATCCAGAAAATTCACTTACTGCAATAGTAAAAATTTTTACTACGTCATCTAGTGCACTACTGATGCTCGTCTGGCCAGCAACAAATTCGACATTTCCATTTAGATCTTTTGTGTTGCCAGAAAAGTATCTACAATTCCAAAGTCATATCACAGCCACTGAGAAATGACATAAGATCTGCTCTGATTGGCTGTTAAATACAAAAAAAGAATTATCTAATTTTACCTGCCCAATAGGACCACTAGCACAACACCAGCTACTGTTAGACCTATAATGCCGATAAAAGTTGCAACTCCATTTAAACGTACCTATGACGTATCACAAAAATTAAGTTTAAGGTTTAGCATGTAAGTTTCCACAAGGTACCACTCCTTCTAATCCTTCATATAAGAGTTAGATAATTAATTTATTGATATTAAAAAAGTTAGTTAAGTTAGTTATTTGTAACAAACATGTGTTGGTTTGTCAAGAATACCTTTTTTAACCATATGTACTGTAACTACCCATAGATAAAAACCCTTTACTACCCTTTTACTATGTGCAATTAATAGGGATATTTTGGAAAAAATAATTATAGAGTTGGGAAAGAGAACCGATTGAGGTCTTATATTTAGGACCAAAGTGAATCTTATTCTAACTCCTATATTTAGGACCGGAGGTAGTATTAAAACAACAGCCTTTTCTTTCTTTGTTTTGGATGGATCATGTGGAACCTGCAATGGAGTCTCTTCTCCAGTATCTTCAGAGATGCTTGCCATCAACAACCCCCACTCCGTATTGATGCCGACCCCAGTTACCTGCAGATAGCAGTAAAGTGATGGCATAACAGCTCTACTATCTTTGGTCTCAAGACCTGGAAAACCACTAGAAGCATAACCAAAACAAAAGGAAAGGACTATTCAACTCACTTTTACATACCCTTAGATTCACATTAGTGACCACAAACAACAGAACTACAATGAGTTGGAACATAAAAAATCATAAAATGAATCAAATGCAGAAGTACAAAATCGATGATAACTGAAGCCCATGAATCCCTTATAACAAGTTTATTAATTTTAGGTTATTCAATTCAGAGTATTTCAATTGATAAAAATAGTCAATCATTTTACATAATCAGCCGTCTTACGGGGTCCTTGCAAAGTTCCTTATACTGTTAAAGCTCAAAAGTCCAACCCAACCGCTACTCAAATATGATACACGGCAGCAAGTCATTAGATCGAATTAGGTGCAAAAAAGGAACCTTGTTGCGTAAAATAAATGAAGCAGCAAAATCAGAAACTTTTTGGAGAAAAAGTTCAAAATCATGAAAGCAATTTCATTCATATTGCAAGAAAGCGTTGCCCATTACCATTTAAAAAAAAAAAAAAGCCAAGTAGACTATGATGAAAATTAAATATTCATCTTACCAGCATAACACCAACGCCGTCTGCTACTTTACAGCCAGACATCAAAAAAGGTGATTTGTGGTCTTTGTGAATCTGCAGAACATCATTGCTAAAGAATCATATGGACAGGGAATCGCTAATTTGGTGGATAGTAGGTAGAAACAACTTACAATCTTGCTTTCACCAGTCATACTGGATTCATCAATGGCAAGTGAGTGAGCAGTGATTATAACCCCATCAGCAGGAACCTGAATGCACCCATAAAGGAAACATAATGGGGAAAGGAATTGTCAATTTCCAACCAAACAAACTCATATATTGTTGGATCTCACCTGGTCTCCTATTTTGAGAGGTACAACGTCACCAACAACAACATCAAATATTGATATCTTTGTTGCTCTACCGCCTCTAATGACCTGCATAATACGTGTAAAATGATCGTGTGGCTTCCCAGTGATGACCCAAATTCTAATTATATAAAGCATACCTCCAATTGTATGTTTTGTTTTTCTGAATTCAAATTCTGGAACTGCAGAGATTGGCGATAATCACTGGTAGCTGCCACACGAGAAGGTGAAAGGAACAGCAGAACTTAAGTCCAAGAAGTACAACATATAGCTTGCATCAGGATTACTGATGAACAACGAGAACACAATAAATTCAAAAGGAAATAAAAGTCTGTCCGACGGTGCCAAAGAATTTAATCTGTAGGGAAATCCTATGGACACCTATAAGGACTTTCAAAAGATTAAATGCGTTGTTCATTAATCAAAACAAAAAGAAATATCCAATACCTGTTACTATTATGACAAGAAAAACAGCAAAGGCAATGCTTCCTCCATCATACCATCCTTCTTGCAAGCCCTAATGATAAAAAATGATGGAAAAGACAAGGCGAACGTAAGCAATTTCAATGGAATTGAAGCAACAAGCATATTCTATTGTCAAGAGCAATCAGAACAAGCATGCATCACAAAGAAACCATCAGTACACGGGAGTTAAGAAATGGGTTTCAATCCCATGTAAACAACCATAATGTAAACAAGTAAATTTCAGTAATCTCGAAAGGCAAAAGGATTAATGTCCATTGTGACTGGCATATGATGATTCACTTTACTTTGTCAAGGTACTGAAGTAACACAAACAAATTAATATTGCTGGACAGCAGTAATATTCCTGAAAGAAATGTTTCAAGAACATCTAACGCAACAAAGTTGCTTCCCCCCCCCCCCCCCGGGGTAAATGTGATCGATAATTAGATGAGTTTGTGCCTCCAAATTGTGCAACTCCAAAACACAAAAAATAGTGAAAATGCATTGTCATCATATAGACGATACTTCGAAATTCTTCATGACAGAAAATGACCAAATATTCTTTAACAAGTTGGTCAGATGACCTCCACAATTGTTCTATCTCATAATTGTATTGTACGAATCACACTTGCTCTTCCCAAGTTTGCAGGTTACTCAATTTTTGTTGTTGTTGTCAACAGACTCCTTCTCCTCATCATCTCGATTTTCCTAATTTTGAATAAAGATTAAGCGCATTGAAGGAATTCTTTTATGCCTGATAAGTTGTCAGTTATCCAGATTGGCAAAAGAATCATAGTCATAGAGCATAGATGTCAGACCTAAATGCCCACAACCTAATTTCTTTAACAAGAAGTTCAAATCCTTCAACATAGCCATGGATCAATTAACGATGCTTCATTTGCTATTTTGATTGATGATTATTAGCTAACTGAGAGTTAATCACACCTCTGTTTTTATTCCAAGTGCCAATGACACCACAGCTGCTATAATCAATATGATGAGGGTCAGGTCTTGCCAAGCATCCCAGAGAAACATCTGTTACAGGCCACAAAGTATTAGTGCTAGAATTATCTAATTAGTTCATTTTAAAAATAGATTACTGACTTATAATGAATATACCCAGAAACTCCGCCCTTTTTTCTTAGGGTATGTATTCGTTCCAAATGTCACTCTCCTCTTTAATATATCATCGTCACTTCCATTAATTCCTTTCTCAAGATCTGATTTTAGTAAATCTGATAAGCCTTTAACCTGTAGAAGCTACCACTGGAATATATCAGATCTATAAATCCTTCAACATCTGCTTAAGCAACAAAAGAATATATTTACAGTAGACTTGCCCCTCCATTTTCTTGCAAAGCAGCAATGTTCTGATCCTTGGACATTGAAACAAGTTGTTCGAGCCCAACTCCGAAGTTATCACCTGAGGTTGGGGCTGACACTCCTGTGCCTACCGCTTCATGATTCAAATACAGAACTTTATTAAGTGATTCAATAAATGCAAGAGCCTTAGTATAATTAGCAAACTCAGCACCAGCAATTAGTTAATTAGGAGCTGATTAAGATTCAAGGTTGATATAAATGCAGTATATGCCCCATTGGACCCAAAAGCAACTTATATTGCAATACTTTGTCAAGGTTGGCGACTTTCGCCATTAAATATTTCTAAACTAAACTGTACCGAGCGCTTAGTTATTAAACTAGCAAAGGAGCTGTATCCTCTTAACTGTAGGTGTCGAGTTCGAATTCAGATTAATCTGGGTCCCAGTGACAGTCCGTATTTACTACGCAGGCTCAGGATAACGGATGGTCTTGCTGCCGAAAAAAAACAGTTCTAAACTGCTAACTCACCAAGGTTCATTAGGATGGGAACCTTTTTATTACACTAATGATAGATCAGATATAATAATGCTTTTAACAATGATCTAATCTGCCATTAATTTACAGCAACATCAGGAATCGACGCATGCATAATAGAAGTCTAGACGTGGAAGATGATAGACAAATATAGAGAGACAAGCGGATTTCAATAATATATAATCTCTAAAAAAAAATACTTAAAAAAAAAATAGTCTCCAGCAGACGCGAGAAAGAAGACCTCCGGCTAATTTTTTTTATCAATTCTGTATTCTTAAAGCTCAAATGCGGGACCTTGAATCAATGAAATCTACGTAAAATTCTTTTGAACTATAGCTTAATTTTAATTATTGTACACAAAAATTGAAATTTTGTCTTCGTTAGATACTTCTATAAAAAGTTAAAAACAAGTTAAACAAGTACGTAGTAGTTATAAAAAGGCGATGACATTATGGGAAGATGGAAAATCTTGAGATTGGGTTTAATATCAAACCCTAATGAATATCTTCGATTTCAGATGTTATGTTTAATTGACTTCAAGGTTTTAAATATTGGTAGCTTCAGGAGATAAAATGTTGGGCTTTAAAGGTGGCGGGCTGGATTTTAAAAGAAGGGTAGCATGTAGCTCACCCCTAAAAAAATCCACTGAGCACAGCTTCGAAAGCAAAACCCACGTAAACTTGATTTTCTTTTGTGGGGAGAAAAAAGACTTAATGTCAGTTGTTGACCTTTTTTATCTCCATAAACTTGAGTTTCTGTATATCACAAACATTCTACTCCCGCCAACAGGATACAACTCGTTAATCAATTGTTGCATTGGTCAATTAAGTGGGCAGTCATTATCTTTGTAAGCTTTTGGTAAACAAGACAATCGTCAGAATGACGAAAGAATGGAAAAAAAAAGAAATTTCGAAGGCGAACCTATAAGAAAGTAGGCATACCTAGATCACGTTCACCGGCTAATCTGAAAAGCAGCGCTGCCTAATAGAACAACCCGTCACCGATTAGAGGAAAGAACAAGATAACTAAAAACATAATAACACTTTGGAAATGTCTTTGCAAGATTCAGAAACATACTCGTACGACTTGAGCATGGGCTCTTATCATCCCTTTCTTGTGCTCTTCGTCCTCTCCCTTCTTCAAGTCCAGAGTATATCTAAAACGCCGGGAAGCATTGAGAACTAGAGTCGCTTGCTGCAAATATACGAGAACTCAGTTCAGATGCATTGCAAAAGCACACTTCAATGCAAGTGATCGATATATATATATATATATATATATAGTGTTAAATGGCTTAGACGAGTGAATTTAGCAAAGAAAAACTATATCATCAATCAGTTTCTTCTTATTGATATCTTCTATCCACGGAAACGTTCCTTTCAATATATTTCACAGGGAAATTTCATTGTTATTGCTCAGAAGGAGCGCTTTGAGTGCTTTTGCAGAACAAAAATTAGCATTTCAAAGAAGGTTGACCAAAAAAAATTTTGGCGACACCAAATAAGCTGCTTTAATCTTTTGTCTAAAATATAGTACATATATTTTTATCCAATCAACATTTAACATATACATTCCTGCACCAAATTTGTCGTAATCTAATTGTGTTATAGGTTTGATTTTGCGTGCGCCTCGCATCAATTACACCTGATAGTGGATGCATTTCCAGTTTGTTAAACGTTGCAACTTTCTTAATAAAGAAAAAAAAAATCTCCAGCAAATCCATTAAATCATCAATTACTACGGTTTCATCATGTAATGAAAAATCCTTCTTAACGACGTCCTCGATCAATCATTATCCAAGCGCAAAGAATTTACACTAACCAAGTGTATTTACACAAGAGACATCATTTAATACACAATCAAGACAATGCACATTGACATTATTGGTTGTTAAAAATAAAAAGAATCATGAATGCACCAGAGAGGCGAAGCGTGTGAATGGTGAGGAGGAGAAATGCGTTTAACACAAATGAGAATGGGATCGAAATGCTTACTCTCCATCGCTGGAGTGTCTCAGCCGGCGCATTCTTGGTGTGAGTGATATCAAAAGGATCATCGGGATCGACAACATCGTCGTCATCGTCGTCGGCATTGATCCGAGGAGGGAGGGGTTCGACATCATTGTGGCTGGGGATGTTGACGGAGAGGAGGCCATTGGTGGAGGCATTAGAGCTACGAGAGATGGACGGCTCCATGGCTTCGGCCTTCGATACAGAATTGAAGAATGAGGTTATTCAGAGATTGGGAGGCTAAGCCACCCGAAGGAGCGATAATTTGGAGGGAAAAGCTCCTTATAGGGAGCCCCCACCTTGGCGGCAAAAGAACTCAGAAATGCGAGAAATGATCATACTCTGATAATATAAAATTGTTTATTTTTTATTAAATGAGCAAAAGAGATAAAAGGAAATAAAGGGGAAATCTTATATTGAGAGAGGGCGTTGGCGCCAACGCAAATGAAAGGCAAAGCAAGACTGTTGTTGCGTGTTGGCCGTCCGTATATTTGGTGGACACAAAACAAACTCTTCGTTATAGCTTCCTTTCATTTCTCTTCCCCTCACTATTAATGGCCAACGCCAACATAGGATAGCCGGGGACCTGCATGACCTGGATTTTTTTTGTAGTTTGTGTGTGAGTGAGTCAAAAAGAATCTCACGTTGTTGTAGGAGTCCAAATGCATACACGCATATATATATATATATATATATATTTTTATCTAAATATAAGACTTCAGTCTATTTTGATTACATTTGGTATGAAGCATTAAAAAGGAGGGATTAGGATTAAGATTGTAATTGAGAAAATCTATTAAAAGAGTGTTTAGTATAAGAGATTGCTTGTTACATGGGATTAGCTAAATCCATGTACGTGGGATTGGAGAATACTATGGGGAGAAGTGGTATTCTCTAATTCCACCTCTATGAATTTGCCTAATCCCATATAATAAGCAACTACTCATGCTAAATACTATTTTAATAATTTTTTTAATTGCAATCCCAATCCCAATTTCTCATTTTCAATACTTCATACCAAATAGGATCTTTGTCTCCTATCTTTTTCCAGAATATTCATATTGATTGTAAAGGGGTTTCTACCAAAAAATAATTTCAATTATCTAATGCACATAATTGAAGATGATAGTTTAGAGAGATAAACATATAATTGTGATAACTAAGCAATTTAACTAATTTTTTTAATATCTCTAAATTAGTTATCTAAGCGTTATATTAAGGAGAAGGTGGTATATATATATACACGCACTGGCTTGTGGTTTTAAAGATTAAGTGAATTCTCCAAATGAGAGGCAAAGAAAAAAATAAATTCTTTACGTTTAAAGCTGACAGTGCTTTAATAAGAAAGAATACCTGTGCCTTAAAAAAAAAAAAAAAAACTCACGAAACAATGAGGTCTAGGTGTTTCACGAACGCATGACGTCTACCAATGTGAAGAAAGTGAGATAAGGCTTAGCGGGATGAATGTGGGAACTTGGAAGGGTCGTGTTGAAGATCGAGGAACGTGCAATGTGACTGGTCTCAAGCATTACCTCTAAATTAGGATGCGTTAGACACAAGGAGAACAAGATCATGACTCAGAAAGCTCATAAATTACAATACGTTTTCCAATTTCTTTGTTTACTTTTCATTAGCACGTGCTCTTTTCTTCTTTTTCACTCCATTGTAGTTATAAAGTCCACAGCATTTCACCATTCCATGCAATTCTATTTGTTGTTAACCCACAACTAGCGTTCACGAAAGTGGGGTAAGGGATGCCGAGCTCCGTTCATTTGGTGGAAGTCAAATAATATTGCGATTTCCTGCATCTCTCTGCGGCATGCCTCGCATCACATTTCGTCCCAATAATTAGCCATATCTTCTAATTATGTTGAGCTTTTGCTCAGTATTTAAACCGGCGAGAGTAGGACTTATTTGGAGCTGCGAACAATAAGTACTAGATAAAATATTAGGAGCTGCGAACAATAAGTACTAGATAAAACTTTTTTTACATACTTATTCCTTTCGTTTCTTGTTAAAGCAATATAGTATTTCATTATGTAGATCAAAAAGTTAGTTAAGGACAATAAATAGGTAAAAATTAGAAGTTCTTTCTCCAAAATATCCTTATTTATGGGGGACTATAAAAAATAGAATAAGAAAATTATTATAATAAAGGAAATTATGAACGAGTGAGAATGTGTGATGAAGAGAGATGGTGGTTTGGAAAATGAGATAATAAATATATTAAATATTAAAATAAGTAATTAATGGAGATAAAATAGAAAATTTGCTACAAAAATTTAAGACAACTTGCAAAATGCAAATGTTACTTATATTTAGAGATAACAAGAGGATGGTAGTTGTTGCTTATAAAAAGAAGGGAAAATTCCAAAAAAGGTCCTTGGAATATAGGAAATTTCCGATTGGGTCCTGGAATTTTAAAAATGACAGAAAGGGTAGTGACCCAATTTGTCATTTGTGAAATTAAGATGAATTGACAATTTTGCCCTTGGTTAAGCAAAAGTGAGTAGTTATTCTCTAAACAAATCTAGGCAATGCTTACACTGTTCTAGTAATTACAAGATTAGTTGTAGTTAATAATAAGGTAGCTGACTATAAAAAGTGAGTAGTTATTCTTTACACAAATTAGGTAATGCTTACATTGTTTTAGTGATTACAAAATTAGTTGTAATTAATAACAAAACACCTGACTATGAAAAAAGTGAATAGTTATTCGCTACACGAATCTAGGTAACACCTAAACCCTTATAGTGATTCCTGAAATCACTATAGTGAATGAATACAAATGAGGGTAAAGTTGTCAATTCTTCTTGATTTACAAATGATAGATTGGGTCACTGACCTTTTCTGTTATTTTCGAAATTCCAGGACTCAATTTGGAATTTTCTATATTCCAAGGATCTTTTTGGCATTTTTTCTAAAAAGGACGTAAGAAGTATTTTTTATTTTATAAATTGCGATTAAAAAATTATTTACAAGTTATTTTTGACAAACCCGTGCACATAAAAATTACCTTTGCTGAAAGGCACGCATGACCAGCAACTTGCATGTTGCTTGCTTCATTTTCAAGTGAGCCGTAAGAATCAACCTAGTTCGTGGATCGTGGATTCCGCTGTACTTAACTTTTCTTCCCCCTCCCCCCCCCTTTGGGATAAGATGATGTACTTAACTTTAAATTTAACGAAATAAGTAACTTTAAATTTATTGAGATAAAGAAAAAATATTTAAATCATTGAGATCAACTTAGAATATAGAATGTAAAAGAACACCGCCCACTTGTTCTCATAGACTTGTCTAATGCATCTAGCCAGGTTTACACATTAACTAAAAATAATTTAATTAGTTAGATCTTATTTTATATATTTTTGGGTGCCGATTTTTTTAATATTCCTTATAGAACCTAATTATTGAGTTGGTTTTAGTCTTAAATATAAAACGTATTTTCATATTTATTAATTTTTTTATATAACCCTTATTGATACTCTTTTAAATATAATCAAGTAGGACAAGGAGTGAGAATATTAAGAAAATATTATGGTATTTTAAAAAAATATCAAATTTTTTATAATTAACTAATTTACATAATTTTTTTAAATCTAAACAAATTAGTTAAGTAGATCTTATATTAAGAAACATATTAGTAACATTAAAGCAATACTTAAAAATCTTTACTTGTTTTTAATGCAATAACCATCTTGAATTAAAACACTACTTAAAAATTGTAAAGTTTATCTGTAAGAAAACTAGATACTCATCTGGAAAAAAAAGGTATAGCATATTGTTTCAAAAATTATTCATAAAAATAAAAAAATTAAACATAAATTAGTCCTATAAATTAAGTGATTGAAAGCATTCGTATAAGAATTCTTGTGAGTTGGTACTTGGGCTTTAGGTTTTTTAGGTCCGCTAGATTTTTGGAAATTTAAACCTCTGTAAGTTGGGCTCTCGCTGCCATGACTTCGCCTGCAAAGGTGGAAAAAAAATTAACCCCACCCCCTAAATAAAACCTCTCTCCCCCTTAAAAGCCAACATTAAACAAGAAATGGCACAGGTAAGAAAAATACTTAGATCTTTGTTTGGGGAAAAAAAAAATTAGATCAAATTCTTTATATTTATTATGTCAAATTTTCTAATCATGCATAGTCCTATCTGGGACACACATGGCCTTGGGGGTCTAGAACACATGAAAATATTATCAAATACTATCTTTAATCGTTAATATAAGAGTTAATTAATTAAATAGATTAAAAAAATTAATTAAATTAATTATTTGTAATAAATAGATATTATCTTTCATAAAATATCCTTACTAATAAAATGTATTAACTAAAACCATTATTATTACAATAACTATTTTGAAAAAAAATGAACAAATACAAAAAAAATAAATAAATTAAAATTTTACATTTAAAACTAAAATAAAAATCAAATGAGCTTATATTAAAAATTGAGGTAATATTTTGGTATCACAAGAGCTAAAAATTCCAATCTTTCTTCTCAATAATTCCCGCAAGCAACGGGCTATCCTCTGACCCCCAGGTATTCGTTAGTTACCCCTCAGTTTGTGATGCGTTCAAAATGGTCAAGTCATGTTCGGAAGCGATTTATCCCCGCAATTGTTGTCTCATTTCAAGGGGGCATTGTGAATGCAATAAACATAAAAAACGGAGCATTCGAAAATCACATTGTAATGGGCAACTTTTAAAGCCGGCTTCTTGCCTCACCAATACTGTCAATTGAAGTGTAAAGAATGAATTTACAGCTTCCAACGCGACGCAGCTTTTTCGTGTTAAATTGCTCATGAAATGACATTATTCGATCTGTAGATATCCACAACTAAAGCTAGGTCGGATTATGAGCCTCAATATCAACATGCTTAATACCAGGAACAAGATTCTGGATTTCCTGCTCCAACCTATCAACTTCACTTCCTAATGCTGTAACTATTTCCGTACCTGCCGCAACTCAAAATTGTAAGCATTTAGTTACTACATGATCAACATGCCAGTAACAGGGGTCATGGATAATGTAATACCATAGTCTGACAAAAACTTCAGCTGGCTAGCCTGATCCTTCTGTGCAGCAACCTCATCGAACTGTGAATATAATTTCATCAATTTTGGAACCAGGGGTATTGCCAAATAAGCATGGTCAATAGAAAGAAATGCATGCTAATTCTTCTTTCATTGTAGACGAAATACATAATGCTTTGAACAACAATGGATGGAAACTAGATTAAGCATGGCCTTGAGAGCCAGGTCATGTCCTACATGACTTGATATCATTAG